TCATGAGTCTTACTGAAAATATGCCCTTTGCACTCCCCTGTACCCAGCGGGGCTTGAGCCCACACTCCTGCCAGCTCCAGAATATTGACTGATGAGACACCATGGACAGCTGGCAGCTCTAATCCCCTGAGAACAGGGAGCACCGATAAATTGGCCACCCTCAGCTTCTTGCTGTGACACTGTTCAGACCATGTATGACACAGGTCTCTCTTCTAGCAGTGCCCAAGTCTTGGCATGCCATTGCTCTTAAAACTCACCTCCCCATAGCAAGGTGGGATGGAGGAATTGACCATTCCCTTTCTTTTAGGGCCGGTCACTTTCTGGTAGTGATCAGAGGGAGGCCACTGCCCCTCTCTGAGGCATGGGCTTTCCTGACCATCTGAACCAGTCACAGGCTTGAATCTATAAATATCCAGCCATAAGAACCACAGATACTATACTCAGCACTTTCCAGACACAGTGACATTTGAAAACATGACAGTTTGTGAAGACTGTCACATTATTGCTTCCATTTTACAAATAAGGAAATAAGAAATGAGACGTTAAGTACCTTGCCTGAAGTCACAAAGCTAACATATGACAAAGCTAGCATTGTAGCTCAGATCTTTTCGTTGTTACTGTTTTTGTTACAGTACTGGAGTTTGAACTCAGGGCCTCACACTTGTTAGGCAGGTACTCAGCCATATAAGCTACACACCAGCCCTTTTTGCTTCAGTTTTTTTTAGGATAGGGTCTCAAGTTTATGGGCCAGCCTGGACCTCAATTCTCCTATTTATACTTCCTGTGTAGCTGGGATGACAGGTGCGTGCTCATGCACTCAACATTTATTAATTGAGATGAGGTCTCATGAACTTTTTGCCTTGGCTGGCCTTGAATTGCAATCCCCTTGACCTCTGCTTCCCAAGCAGCTGGGATTACAGGCATGAGCCACCATGTCCGGCTCCAGATCTTTCTGCCTTTGAAATTCCAACCCAAGAGATTTGACTTCAGGGTCCACTCTCCAGTCCCACTTGAATTACCTCTACCCTGCACGGTGCCTCCATCATCATTCATCAATGTGCATTTGGTCCCACACTGAACACTGGGGCTGGTACGATCCCTGCCTGTCACCGATTGGAGACTCGGGCAGCAGGTAGATAACCTGGCCATCACAGCTCCTGGGAGTGTAACCCAGGGTCCTGATGTGCAGAGGCCCTTGCCTCAGCTGGGGATACATTCATCATGATCATTCACCTATACTGACCAGGTGCCAAGGACTGTTAACCTCTGTATGCATGGGTCATTGGAATCTGCCCACAATTCTGTGCAATAAGCATTTTCTGTCAGCTCCCTGTGTAAATCAGGAATGAAGTACAGATGGGTTAAGGATGTAGTTAAGGTCCCACAAGTATAGGGTGGAACCAGTTTGGACTCTGCTTCTCAGACATTGTCTGCCTGCTCCCTGCAGGAGGTGATGCCAGAGCAAAACTTTGACACCCCCACACCAGCGCTGCCTGGGCACCTGTTCTCAGGCTCCATCCCAGACCTGCTGAACCACAGTCATATTTAAGAAGCACAAGTCTGGTCCAATAGCTTCTACATCGGATGGAAGGGCGCTTAGAAAAAGGACAGCACAGGCGGAGCTTGAAATAAGAGCATATGCTCCATGCAAACGTATGTCCTTGCATGGCCTGAGGCCCTTGTTCCCAGGCCCTGCAGGCCCTGCAGCAGCTCGGTGGGGTGACAAGAGTTGGGAAGAACTGGAGAGCAGTGTCTTGCAGGGAGGATGAACCTTGTGGATTCCATCCTACAGCCTCTGCACCCCAGGAGTTGTGGGCATCTCAGTCAGAGACTTCACGGTTTACCCTTTGTATTATACGTGAGCAAATGATGACCAAAGAGGGAAAGCCATTTCCTTGAGTGTGCACAGTACTTGCCAGAATAACCAGTGCCAGGACTCAGAGGTGCTAGTTCCCAGGCTTTCCTGTGGCTCCTTCAAATTAGGAATTGAATATCTAGGCAGCCTTGTGGTGGTGGTGGGGGAGACCCAATCAAATGCCTTTTCCCATATCCTCCAGGGCTCCCTGAACTGAATCCTCTTCTCCCTGCCCCACTTCTGCTCCAGAAACGGGGTTTGGGGCCCTCCCACAGTGCTTGAGGTGGTAGCATATGGAGTCCTTCATCTAACCCCTGAAGACAGTGAAGGGCCTAGAGGTTTGCCCACTGCACCCCTCTGCTGGTACTCATCCTGACTTCCCTGCTCATGCATCACAGCTGAGCAAGCAGGCTGCACTGCGACAGCGCCACACTGCTCTGCTGTTACGTTTTCTTGCACAGTCGTTCAAGACTGTGCTACCCATATCAAGAAATGAAGACAGAAATAAAAGCAAGGGGAAGAACGACCTCCCAGAAGGTTGCTGCATGGAGCACTCTTGGTTTCCTCCTTTGGTTTGGGGCCTTGCACTCATCCTTCAAGTTTCTAATTGAAGCCAGTGAAGCCCACAATTAATAAAAGTAGGTCTCTTTCATTAAGTGCTCCATGCCAGACTTTGAGCTGGATTCTTCAAAATGTTATCTCTAATTTTGAAGATGACACTGTAAAGTGTATTTTAATTAACTCCAGCTTGCCCATGAGGACCAGAGAGGTTAAGTGACTTGCCCAAAGTCAAACAGCTGTGAAGTGAAACCCAAGCTTGAGCTGCTGGCTTCTTGTGCTGAGGCTCCTGGTTCCTTACTACAGAGGAACAGCTACACAGGAGCCTGTGAAGGTGACTGCTGTATTGATCCTCATGGGAGGTGAAAAGGGACTGGGTTGGTATGAGCCTATCCATTTTAAAGATACCAGGCTCAGAGAGAGGTAAAATCTCTCTTCCCAAGTCTGGACCCCACAGTAACTCCCAACTCACTGCTCTTTTCAATGCTTTGGGCCAAGCACCATGGGCGTCTGTGTGCCGGGGCCCTGTGTGCTCATCACTGACATGGGCTGTGGTTAAGTTTCAGCCGGGTAAGATCTTGTTGCCCGACCCATGAACCCTGGGCTAGTGCCCAGATCCTACTGCCTCTTCTCACTGTGTGACCTCCAGGGCAGTGCATCATCTCCCTGTCTTGACTGTGGCATGGAAGTTTGATGACAGGATGCCCAGCTCCCATGGCCACCTGGACGCTTCAGGGAAGCACTTGGGAAATGCTTTGCACACAGTTGTAGCTAAGGGGAGGTGTGCAAATTGTTACCAGTGGCCTTCCTGTCATGAAATATGCTACACAGTCAGAAAAGACAGAATTGTATACCACAGATTCCCTGTGAACTACTTGAAGAGAAGCTCGTGAAGTCAACAAAACAGATCGCAGGTAGGCATGTTTGAACAGACCAGATTAGCCCAGCTCAGAGCGGAAACCTTCAGATATACTGTGAACACAAAGCGTAAGGGGATACCAGTGGGTTTATGGTGTTGTTTTGGGTCTGTGAGGGAATGTGTGTGTGTGTGTGTGAAACTGGCTGTGTATTTGTGTGTTTGATATGTATAAAATCTCTTTCTTACATGATCACAGTCTTTGATCATGGTCAATAATAATTTAAAAGTATGATAAATACTCGTGAATATTCATGTACTCACCATTCAGAATTTATTAGTATGTTTTCATGTTTGCTCCAGACTCCTTTCCAAGAAGTCAGATGTTATAGAGAGAGGACAGTGAAGCTGTCTGGGCACTTGGCTTTCACCTCAGCACTCCACTGGCCCCAAGGCTGGCACTCCTGCAGGGCCGTACCTGTGATCGGTCATTCTACCCACTGACCCAGGCACCTTGTTCAGCCAGGCTCAGTCAGCCATTCCCTGGAAGAGAGGCACTGTGAGGCTTGCTGCATCCTGCCCCTCTGATTCTAATCACCGTCCTGCACACAGGAAATCCTTTGAGAAGCAGTGGAAACACAAAGGCAAGGCATGGGGATGTATACCTGTAATCCCAGCTATTCAGGAGGCGAATACAGGAGAACCATGGTCTCAGGTCAGCCCTAGGTTCAATCCTCAATACTGCAAAAAAAAAAAAAAAAAAAATTAAAAATTAAAAAGGAAGAAGCCGTGTAAACACACAGAGCTTGCTGCAAACGCACAGGGTGTGCTGATAAGCAGGCTCACGGTTTACATAAGACCCTTGAAGTACGTAAACACACGTCCTGGGCCTGTCCAGGGGCCCAGTAGTCTGCACCACCCACCCAGAGCTGCAACCCTGACATTTGCTGCCCCTTCCCTCCAGAAAGAGGAAGCTGAATTCTGAAGCAAGGAAATAACCCAACCTAGACCCCAGGGTGCAGTGGCAGAGAGGGAAGGAATGGGAATGGACGGAGAGAGACAGAGAAAACAAGAGAGCGAGAGAAAGAGAAGTGCACATCTCCCATTCGGACATGCAGTCCAAACTGTAGCACACAGTTCCTGACCATTCTTTGTAAAATAGCCCCAGCCCCAGTCTTCCCTCCACCCCTTGCCCTTGACCTTCCTCCCAGAACCTGTTCCCTGGTGCACTACACATCCCTCTGCTTGTTCCCATTTCTGTTCACTGGAACATGAGCCCAGGAGACAGCAAGCCTAACCAGGTTCTCACGATGGCCTGGCAGAGCTGGCCTGGAGGCAGCATCCATTTGTACTTCAAATGACTGAGGCAGTAATGGGTCTGAACATAGCTCTCTGCAGGCCAGACCAGTTCTGCACCAGGTAAAGCCACTGAGACACAGGTGTGTGACCTTGCTGGCACCATGTCTAACATTGAGTGCACTGGGTACTTCACTCTGACAGTCAGTGGACTCTTTTGGTCCTGCTCTTAACGCTCCCACTTTCAGGTAGGGAAAGAAAGGCACAGGCAGGTTCAGCCACTTGTTCAAACACAGCTGAAAGTTACATGGAACTAGAATTAAAACCCTGGTTCTAGCACCCAGGTACTTTATCCATCTCTTTCTCCTTCTCAGAACATTCTACAACAAAATTTGAGGGACACTGACATAGGTATTTCATGTCTTTTTTTTTTAGCAATTTGAAGAAAGACAAGGCCGGACCAATAGCAAAACAGCCTTTTACCAGGCTCTGCAGAACTCGCTGGGTGGCGAGGACCCGGACGCCCGTGTCCTGGCTGCTGCCACATGGTATTACTCCTTGGAGCACTCCACAGATGACTATGCTTTCTTCTCCCGGGCACTGGAGAATGCCACCCGGTAAGCTGCAGAGGGCACCATTCGGTTGCCTCACGTGGGTGTGGGTCCAGGTGGTGCGTGGATCCTGAATACAGACCAAGAGCATTAACTGAGCACCTACTTTATACTCTGCACCCCTCCTTCAGCCCACCCCACAGTGACAGCCATCAAGAGCAGCCGTAGGGGATGTGGAGCAGACCCTGCTGCCAGGACCCCTGTCGTAAAGGCACAAGGACAGCCCTGACTCCCCTTAGAAATATGGGAGCAGCAGAGACACCATGAGTGCCCACTGTGTGCTCCATGAGGTATCAGTGCTTGGCCAATACTTATGGAGGATCTACTGTGCTGACTTCCCTCTGGCTGTCCTCAGGGTATGGTGACAAGCAGGCCCAGGGACAGGGGCATATCGACAGCTCTGCAGACGATTCCAGTGCAGCCAGAGTCCACCCAGCATGTGGGAAGCAGAGGCTGACATGGCAGGTTTTGTGTCCCCAAGGCATACTGGCCCTTTCGCTGTGGACTACTGTTGCTTACACCATCTCTCCAACCCCACTCGCTGCTCAAGCACCTCTCACTTGGGATGTCTGCTCAGCACCCTCCCCAAGACAGTCAGAGGCTGAACCCCACCCCTGGCTCTGCTGTCCCCAGCATCCCTCTTTCTATACTACAGGGTCAGGACTGACCTGTGTCCCTCTACCAGTATCAGAAGCTCACTGAGATAAGATTGATTTCTGTGAGCACAGCAGATGCACAAGGAATGAGGTTTATTGGGCAAAGAGTGACAAGCAACCATGCTACAACTCTCTTTTCCTTTAGAGGCCTTGAATATGAGACTACAGTAGGGCCTGGAGCTCTTTGGTCACCTTGGCCTTCACTTGTTCTCAGTTTCCCTTCCAGGAAGATGGGGTCAGGTGGCAGCCAGCATCCTATGCCTCCTTTGCCCTCTCCCTCTAGCAAGTCCACACTTACCTTTCGCTCTCTGTACTTGGGGATGAGGCCAATGTTAAGGCTCAGGTGCCTTGCTGACCTTGACTGTTGGGAAGGGTCAGCTGGAGGGTGTTAATCTGACCATCTTGCATGACCTTCCCACCCACAAGGCCATGGTTCCAATTGGAGGATCACTAGTTCAAAAGGAAACCTTGTACCACCCTCATGGATCTTGGGGTCCAGAAAGCCTTTAATTGTACCTCTAGTGAACAGCTAAGTTTAAACCAAGCTACCCACAGCTATTTATGGAGGCCCAGCCCTAGGCTGGTCTGTGAGAACCCACAGATGTTCAGACCCTGTCTTTAAGAGGCTCACAGTTAAGTAAGTGCTGTTCTTGATCTGAGTGGTAGAAAGCACAGGGTCAGATCTCTGAAACTCCAGTTCCAGGTCACCTTCATCTGGCTTCATGAGCAACCTGTGCCCTAGTGTAGGAGCTGAGACCCGAGAAGGCAGTGTGATCACGGAAGGCTTCACTGGGGAGACAGACTCAGCCTCCCGCAGCTTAGACCCTCATTCTTCCTGGCCAGACCCAGGTAAAATGTTCTCTTAGGCCTCCCTGCCTTCAGTCTCCTGGCAGTGTCCCTCCCAGGGACAGGACTGATCCCATCCCTGACCTGCTTGCAGGTGAAGCAGAGCTGCCTGTGTCACCATTCCAGAACCACACACTGGGCCTACTTGGAGCCCATGACTTTCCAGCTACTCCCAGGCTCACCACACATTGTCATATCCAGGACCATGAAAGTGATGACCACCCTCCTTAGTGGGGGCTTCCATAGTGTCCTTAGCCTTGGCTTTGTGGGGCAGAAGACAAGGCTGGGTCCCCACTTCTCAGCTGAGAGGGTAGAGATGAGGGGGATGAAGAGACCTCTGAGCATCTCACCTGATCCTTGGGTCGTTTTGTTTGTTTGTTTTTGGTGAGACTGGGGTTTGAACTCAGGGCTTCGAGCTTGCAAGGCTGGCACTCTGTCACTTGAATAACAGCTCCAGTCCATTTTTCTCTGGTTAGTTTGGAGATGAGGTCTTGTGAACTATTTGCCTGGGCTGACCTCAAACCTTGATCCTTGTGATCTCAGCCTCCCAAATAGCTAGGATTATAGGTACGAGGTGGCATCTGGCTTTATACAGTGTCTTGATCCCAACTCTCTAAGTGAAATTAATGTCACAGGAAGGGGTTTATCCTTGGGCTTCTTGATCCCTGAGGTACTTCACCGTGGACACCGATTTTGGTTCATTACATGCTGTATCTGCCTCTTCTACCACTGTGGCATGAAAACCACTGGGAGAAGAGCTGGAGGCTGGGGAAGGGTGTGTTGGCAGGCCTGTGCTAGTGACTTTGGGAATGATGGAGCCCAGAAGACCTTGCCTGGGAGAGGCCCTTGCCTGGCACAGCTGTCCATGGAGCTGACCAGACTCCCTCCTCTGTCCTTTCCCCAGGGACTACTTCATCATCTGCCCCATGATCGACATGGCCAACCTCTGGGCAAGGAGAGCCCGCGGAAATGTCTTCATGTATCATGCTCCCGAAAGCTATGGCCATGGCAGGTGAGATGACTCTATTATGGTTAGAGAAGGAAGTCTGCCAGGGGCCCCGTCACTGCTGTAATCCACAGTGAAGAAGAGAAAAGAAGGCAGGACGAAGGTACAAGTCCTGGCTTAGTGACATGGGACACTTCACTAATCTCTATATACCTCGGTTTCATCATCTGAAAAATGGAGAGTGATGATATAATAGCCTTTTTATCTCACAGGCAAGGAAAGCAAAGTAAGAACTGTACGAAGCTTTGTGAGGGATGACGCCCTTTGGAACTACAGTATTAGTTATTAATTGATTGACGTGGTTTGGGAGGAGGCCTTTATTGATATTAATGTTCACACTAAAGAGCATCAAAATAGCCATGTCACACTGAAGTACTTTTGGAGAGACATCACACTTCTCCTAGGTCAAGAAAGTAGTGGCACCCTGGTGGCAGCCTCCAGACAGCATTTATGGGTGACATTGTCCCGAAAGCAGGTCTCCAAAGAAGCACAATGGTATTGTTTTGTTTTGTGTAAGATTGGAAGCGAGGCCTGCCATCTGTGCAAGGGCACTGACCACCCCGGCCCACAGTCTTATTTCATATGCCACAGGGAGCTTGGGGGAAGCACCAGCTTCCAGGTGGGGGCTGAGCTCACCACTTGCCATTGTGCCATCTCAGGTAGCCTCTGTGCCTGTCAGATCTGCAGTGTCTTATCTGTAAACTGAGGCAATAAGGTCCCCTTTTAGGGGAATTACCAATATGGCGGCCATAAATCATGTAGCTCATGACAGAGCTTTCCCTAGCATTACTTTGGGAGCATCTATGGAAGTCTTATAAGCACATACGATTTATCATTGTAATTAGCATTTATAGTAGTCTGGATAATGGCCACCAACACATATCCAGTCCCAGTCCTCAGAACCTGAAGGTGTTAACTCATAGCTGTCCTCCTTACTTGTGGTTGAGCTTTCAGAGGTTTCAGTTACCACAGTCAGCTGGTGTGTCATGGCTCCATGATCCTTGTGACCATATGTCACCCTTCAAAGGCTATGTAAGATGGTGAACAGTAGCTTAAGATGAAATCACATGGCCTGCATAACTTGCCTCACTTCCCCTCAATGCATAGGCACTATGCTATCTCATCTAGTCAGCAGAGGAAGAAAGGGAGACAGAGACAATAGTAAGATATTAGAGAGACCACATTCACATAACTTCTATTACATTTTATTGTAATTGTTCTTTTTATTATGTGCCTACTTTGTAAATTAGCTTTATCACAGGTTTGTATAAAAAAACAGTTGGAGGAACCCACAGGGTCGTGGATATATCCTTGAAGATTAAGGGGGCACTGTTTAAAGAAAAGGGGCCTTGGGAGATGTGATTAAGTTCAAGATCCTGATTTGGGAAAACCATGCTGGATATTCCTGGGTGGACCCCAGGCAGTCACAAGGACCCTACAAGAGAGGGAGAATTAGTAACATATAAAAGGCAGATGATAGAAATGTGGCCATAAACCAAGGAATGCCGGCAGCCACCAGAGCTGGAAGAACAAGGAGTGGATTGTCCCCAAAGCCTCTGCAGGGAGCAAGTTCCTGCAGACACTTTGACTTTGGCTCAGTGGAACTAATGTGGCACTCTGGCCTCCAGAAGTATGAGAATAAATTTCTGTGGCTTTAGGCCACCAAATGTGTGGTAATTTGTTACACCAGCCACAGGAAACTCATATAGTCCTTGGGCCATTCTAGTCAATCCCAGGCACTTCTTCTTGACATGCTTTCTCCAAAGAGATGATTCAGTTTTCATAGCACTCCACAGAAACATGCAGAATCTTTGAGAGTTTGGCAGGTGAATGAGGTTCTCCCGACTTTATAGATGGAGAGCTTCTTAGACCACTTGGGCTGCTGTAACAACATACCTTAGACTGGGTAAGTTATAAGCAGAATGAACTTATTGCTCATAGTTCTGGAGGCCCAGGTACAAGTTCAAAGTTCCAGCAGGTGCAGTGTCAAGTGAGGACTCGCCTCTGCATCATACATAGTGCTTCAGGCTGCATCCTCCCATGGTGGAAGGGTGAACACACTTCCTCAGGTTTTGTTAATAATGGTGCTATTCCATTCACAAGAGCACCAACCTCATAACTGGTCACCTCTTAAGACCAACATGGCAGATTGGTTCTGAATGTGTGTACCATGAGGGGAAGCAGACATTCAGCCTGAGTGTCAAGGATTTCAACATAACCCCCACAGTTGAGCAGCTGGGTTGTTACAGCAGCAATCTGTCATTGTCTCTCCTGGGTAGTTTTAGAGCTGTGACTTGCCATTGCCCCTCTGAGCCTCCACATACTCTTTCCACTAAAACCTGTGGTCTTTATGTCTCATCCACCTCCTAGAGTAGTCAGCTGCTGGCGGTGTAGGTAGGAAGGTAGATGGCTGGCTGTGGTCCTGCCAAAAGGCAAGGAGGAAGGATTGATGAAAGCAAATAAATGGAGCCTGGGACCCAGTGGGATGTGACCATCCACAGCCAGGCGCTTTCCCCTAGATCAAAATTGATGATGCCTCTTGATGCCAGACCTTCAAGTGTCACTCTTGGCCCCATTCTCTGGTCCATGCCTGTCTTCCTCCCTGCTGGGGCAGGGAAGTAAGGGGAGGAAGAGGCTCCACAGTTAGGCCAGCTCTTAAGCAGACTTACAAAGCCTATACTTTTGGTTCCCAAAATTTACAATGGCAAAAAATAAATACATCAGCACACAAGGGCAAAATAGTCAAAGTACAACAAAATGAAGGCTTGTATGATCCCGGTCAGAACCAATAGTGTTGGGTTGCCCAGGGTTAGTGTCATAGGCAGCTGTGACATAGGACTACAAACCAGGTGGCCTTAGAGTAGCAAAAATGTATTGTCTCATGTTCTGGAAGCCAGAAGTCTGAAATCCAGGTGTCAGCAGAGCAGCCTCCCTCCAAAGGTTCTGGGAGGGTGTGTCCAGCCTCTCCTGGCTTCTGGTGGCTCAGGTGTTCCTCACCTTGTACATGGTGACCTTCTTCCTGATTGCCTTCCTCTGTGTGTGTGTGTGTGTGTGTGTGTGTGTGTGTCTGCATCCAAATTTCCCTTCTTTTGGGGACGTGAGTCATACTGGTTAGGGCCACCCTAATAACTTCAGTTGAACGTGGTTAGCTCTGTGAGAAAGACCCTCTCTCCAAACAATGCCCCTTTCTGAGGGATTGGGTTAGGACTGGAGGGGACACAGTTAAGCCCACAGCATTCCCTCTTCTTTAGGACAACAGAGCCCTGCTCAGGAGGCTCCTGAGAAGGCTCCCCAGCGTCCCCACAAGAGTGACTCTTATCAGAATCAAGTGGTATCCATGGGAGCTGTGACCAGTTTGGGCTTCTCTGCCAGCACAGGGGTACATGGTAGGTGCTGAGGAGATGGTTTTGAGGGATGGCAGATGAGCCAAGCCCCTCATTTGCCAGGTGGGGAATGAGTCCTTTCTAGGTCTGTTTCTAGGTCTAGATAGAATGGAGGGGGGAGGTGAGTGAGGCTGGAGCTCCATGTAACCTGGGACCAGACCCTGGTGAGGTGAGAATGAGATGGTGGTCTTGCATCCAGCCCCTCTCTCTACCTCACAGCCTAGCTCTAGTGACATTTCAAGGCCATCCTGAGACACAGACATTTCAGATGTGGCTACATGTGTTAGAGATGAAGCAGTGTCCTGGAAACAGGCAGGGACTCCTGCATCCACTGCTTTTAGTGAGACCCATATTCTCCACTCTTATAGCAGAGCACCCTCAGGCAAGTTGGACAACCCCCTTTGTGACTCAGTTTCTTAATCTGACCAATGGGCATGACAGCAAGACCTCCTGCTGGTGGTATGATCATTGGTTTGTGTATAGAACGGGGTCTGGCAAACTGCAAGTGCCATGAGTCCCCTTACTCTCAGCCATCAGAAGGTTTTGTTGACAACAACCTGTGCAGACAGCTTCCCTTCCCACCCGGTCACAGTGGGGCCGTCTGCTTAGTAGATGCTGCAGTCAGCGGGTGACAGATCACACAACAGAACTCTGTGATGGTTGACAAGTTTATCCTTTCTTCCCACAAAGACCTCCCTCCCCTTCTCCCTCCCACTTTCCCTCCTCCCCCTCTGTGCCCTGGAGCTGTCACATTTCTCATTTTATTTCTGGCTCAAATCTACACACTTAAAATATATGTGTGTGTGCTACATTGCCAGCCATCTGTCTCGTGCCTCTATTCCTGTTAGCATAGGTTAGCTTTCTTGGTAGCAGCCAGGAACAGAACAGCATAAATTACTGCTTCTTCACAGACCTCGCCGACTGGTCACAGAGTGACAGCCTGGTTCTCTAATTGCCTGCTGCAGGTGGTGAGATTTTCACCCCAACACTGAGCGCAAACCTTAGTGAGGAAAGAGAAGCTGGGATGGGTGGGTCAGAAGACAGAGATATTAAGATCCCAGGGCAAGAGGAGTGTTGAAGACTCAGGTTCAAGGTCTCATCTGCTCTTTCGCTTTATAAATTAAGAAACAAAATCCCTGGGCTATGTGCCAATCACAGAGTCAGTAAGTAGCAGTGCAGACTCACACCTGCCTCCTGCATGCTCTTCAACTGCACCCACTTCAGCCAAAAGCTGATGGAGTGCCTGGAGTGGCAAGTCACTTAGCCTCTCTGAGCTTCCTCAGTGGTACCTGGGGAGAGTAATAATATGTCTTATTGGGCTGCTGGGAAGGTTCAGGAGGATGGGACCTGAACAGAGTTTAGCTCAAGGCTTGCGTCTCCTATGTGCCCATGTGTGTGTGTGTGTCTTTGATTGCCAAGGCTGTTGATGTGAAGGTTAAATCAACTAGAGTTTTTATTTTATCTCTTCCATTTATTATCTGTTTGCATTTGAGCAAGATCCTTTGCCTCAGTGTCCTCACCTGTGAAGTGGGGACAGCTACTTCCACTTCCTCCTGCAATAATGCATGTTCAATACCTGATACGCTGTAGACATTCAATATTTGGTAACCAGAGTTAGTTTGC